GTACGCGTGCCGAGCGGGACTGCCTATCCAGCGGCGGACAGGCGCCCGCCATGCGTTGGGTAGGCCGCCCGCCTTGTACGCGTGCCGAGCGGGACTGCCTATCCAGCGGCATAGAGGCGCCCGCCATGCGTTGGGTAGGCTGCCCGCCTCGTACGCGTGCCGAGCGGGACTGCCTGCCCGTCTAGCGGCCTTGTTTGAAGAGCGTCCTCGCCGTGTAGAAGTACTATACGAACGCAGAGGAGTGTGTGTGTGGGGGGGGGGGGGTCGTACCTTGAGCTCTTCTGGGGACAGGAACTTGTCATATTTTTCCGGATCTTCTGCGATATTGATTCCCCTCGCTCTGCAACAAGTTTTCCAACCAAAGATAGGACACGTAACATAGATTAGATTAGATTAAGTTTCTTACGCGGGTTTGTAAATCTGCAGTGTACTTACGGTGGCGGCCGCTCGACATTTTCGAACCATTTGTAGTCCTTTGAGTACACCGAGCAGAACACATCTTGAGACATTGTAATTTCGGATTATTTGTTGATGATAAATCTGAAAATTGGGAGGTCAGTGAATTTATTAAATAATTATCTTTTCTATTTTTTAAAAAGTTTTATGGTTGTTTTCTTTAAAGTTTAGACAGTCGGCCATGTTGCCTTTCGGTCGTTTCCTCGACAACAGTATGGGGATGGCGATATGAGAAGCTCGGGGCAGAGGGCGCTAGTGGGCTGTGAGTTCAACTGTGGTGCGCGCGATTCAAACTCTGCTTGTTGTAGGGGTACCGAAATACGCGTTTGCGAAACGGGGAAGAAATATAGAGAGTAAAGGTGAACACTAGATGTAAGATTGGATAGAAAATAATAGATTAAAGTCAAGAAACATTCCAATTCCGTCAAAAATAACCTGTTAAATCACATTAACGAAGGCAGGTAACGGTATGTTCAAATCGAGGGGAAAAAAAGCGTCTCTCAATGACATAAACGTTAAATTAGCAAGGGCACTGTCATTTATCGGATGCTTTCACTCAGGCAGACGTAGATTTTAATATTAAATGATTTATTTCATGTTTTTTATAGCAAAAATACGATGAGAGGAAGGCTCACGGCAGCCGCGGTAGGTCGGCCCAACTAAAACGACTCGCCCTTTATTACGGCGAATAATTTCCTCTGCATCTCTTCGTCAGAAATGCACCCTATGTCTATTGTCCCCATTAACACAAAAAAGTCCCGAGATTTCGGTCAATTTCTTTTAAAACAAGCACTTATTCGATGCCACTGTTACCCATATGACACAATGGGGAAGCGCGGTCTCGAAGCGAGAGTTGAACTCATGGCCCATTAGCGCTCCTAGCGGCCGCAAGTGGCAGTCGCCATCCCCATGTCCACTACTCAGTCAGCACCCTACTACTTTGCAGTCTGTTGATTTCGTTTTCAAAAAAACCGCCACCGCACTGCCACAGCGCAAGCAATGCATGTTTATCTCCTTGACGCATGTAATACTAAAGAATTAGATTGACCACACTCTGTACTAAAAATTTATTGTTGCGTGATTGAAGTTTATTTTATCTAAGCAAATGTTTGCCGAAACGTTTGCCTAAAAATCTGTTTTTAGAGTTCGTAAGTTGGTGTACAGTTTATTTTGTTTGTCTCCTTTCCACCTCAACTTCAAACGTGTCAAGTGAAGTCTATGTCAATAGTGTCGAAATGTGCAATTTCAAACCCTTCTTTATCCGTTTCTTCTCCTGCCATGCTGTAAGATAACGCGGTTTGAGGGCCATTGGATCCATTTCTCGGCATCGGCACCTCAGAGCAAGCAACAGCGATGCCTCCAAATATCCTCTCTAGCAGTTTGCAAAATGCATCCTTCAACATAATATTTCAGGTAAGGATATAACGAGAAAACTGCTATGTGAAAAATGTACAGGATATTTTGATGAATGATTGGAAGCTGTAAAGCAGGAATGACATTCCCATAAAATTTTAATTGTACTGTCTTCGTCGTCGAGGTTATGGCACTTACATGGTTATGTTTTCTCGGAAAAGCAAATTTTGATGTAAAAGGGAGTACAGTATGCTGTTCATTCACGTTGAATTAAATTTTTCGTGTATCAGTTGTCATACCAAAGCTGTAATATAAAGATGCCATGCGTTGGTTAGCTGCAGAAATTTGTATTAAAAATCTATGTTTTGGGGAGGTTTGTCAGTGAATTGTCATTTGCACCTGTCATTTGCACTTTTTCTTATATTTTTTCAGATTGGCTTCAGAATCCTCACCTTTCTTTTAAATGCTTTTGTATTACGCCATGTAAGTCAAGCTGCTGTTGGAGTTATGAATGTCCGTCTTTTACTCTTAGAGTCCACTTTGCTATTTTTAAGTCGGGAAGCCTTTCGTCGGGCTTGTCTGAGTAAAGCCAGTGAACACTACTGGCCTAAGGTTATCAACTTGGTATGGCTTACGTAAGTTCTAGAATAGTTCAAAATTCATTGTTAAGTACTTTAAAACAATTGTAAATAAGATTCTATAAAATTCCATTTTTCTAGGGTACCTCTCTGTCAGATCCTTTGCTTGATATTTGGCTACATATGGCTGAATGTACTTTCAACACCCAGTAGCAGCATCACGGAATATTATACTGTTGGTGTATGGTCTATTGCAATCAGCTGTATTATAGAAATGTGTTGTGAACCAGTTTATCTTATGTCAGAGGCTTTCCTTTTTGTACGTCTCAAGGTAAGTTTCTCACTTCTGCAATAAGTATTAATTTTTATGAAAATGAAATCCAAGAATTTTGTTCTTTATTTAGGTTGTGATGCAAACAATGCTTGTGGTGGTTCGCACCATTACATTTACATCAATTGTTCTTTATCAACCCAAAGCTGCTGTTCTAGCCTTCTCAGTTGCTCAGATTTTATCAATAACAGCTTACACTGTTGGGTATTATATATATTTTCATTTTTATATGAAAAAACGTCTCATTGAAAGGAGCCAAATTATCAATAATGTGTCAAAAGGACGGTCTTTTCAAAGGAAAGATTCTATAATAGGCACAGCCTATGACTTTCCATTTAACTCAATTTCGGAGTTCCTTCCATCTAAATGTGATGATGGGGTAAGTCTCCCTCTCTTCTCTGTGTTAATGAAATTTCCACCAAAAAAATACTTGGAACCATATTTTTTTTAAATGTCTCTTTTGCAGAATTTTGATTATAAATTGGCTAAATTGACTTGGAGCTTCTTCAAGCAGGGTATTTTAAAACAAATTCTTACTGAAGGAGAGCGTTACATTATGACATTGTTCTCAGTGTTGTCATTTGGGGAACAGGGCATTTATGATGTAGTCAACAACTTAGGTTCAATGGCAGCTCGGTTTTTGTTCCGGCCCATAGAGGAAAGTGCATATTTCTATTTTTCTCAGATGATTCGAAGGGATGTTCCTATTGCAAAACAAGACCAGGTGAGATTTAGTTACCATAATGTGACAGTGATTATTATGGCTTCATTTAATATTGTCTCTCTCTCTTTTCCAGAAACAAGTTGAAGAATGTGTTCTGGTTTTGCAAAGGCTACTTCGCTGCCTATTTGCCCTTGGGCTTGTAATATTAGTATTTGGCCTTGCTTATTCCCGTCTCCTTCTCCTATTGTATGGAGGTTCAGGTCTCATTTCTGGAAGTGGACCTCTTTTACTTCGAACACATTGTTTATCTGTGCTTCTTCTTGCTTTAAATGGAATCACAGAATGTTATGCACTTGCCAGTATGGACACTAAACAGCTTGACAGGTTTGTTACTACATGCAATGTTTCTAAAACTCACACCAAGCAGATGTTATTAATACTTAATTTTGGTAACAGATACAATTATGTCATGGTATGGCTGTCTATTGGGTTCCTCTGCATTTCTTGGATTTTCACGAGGCTTTTGGGAGGCGTTGGGTTCATACTTGCCAATTGTTGTAATATGGCTGCTCGCATTACTCACAGGTATGTGGCATACCTAAAACTCTTCTCCTTAGAAATTATTGTAAGCCTAAGGAATGGTGGCTCCATTCTTACACTTATCCATTTTTTGTTTTGTTTTTGCAATTCAGTATTCATTATATTGCTGACCAGTATCAATCCACAGCTTTCAATCCCTTGAAAGGTGTTATTCCTCACCGAATGTACTGCATTACATTGTTTGTCTCTGGATTGTTGACTCAGTTGTCTGAGGTAAGATTAAATTATCTAACTATGTTTTATATTTAAATGTTTTTAAAGATGTTTAAAGCAAATATTTGTATCTGTTCATCTTTTTTTTCCTCCTACACAGGTGTTGGTATCACCCTATTCTCTTCTTGGACACTTCTTGATTGGGGCATTCTGTTTTTTGGTTACCCTTGTTGTCTGGACAATTGGGGAGCGTGAACTTGTTCAACTTGGCATACACAAGTGGAATCAGAGGAGAGCAAAGTCACACTAAGTATGATTTGTTTTTAAGACAAGTGATATCAACCGATAAATTCCTTCCAAGATGGACATGAAACCAAGGGGTGAACACAAACAATTCTGACATTGGTGTATAAATTTTCTGACATGAATTTGAGTTGAGTTGTGCTGTACACTAAGGAGGACAGCTGTCTAACTCTTGTCATAGTTTAGTGCCACCTTTTCGAAAATTGTAGCAAGTAGCCTACTTTGGATGTTTTCCAAAGACATATGCCATGTTTAAAACAAAACCAAAAATCCCAAAACAAACAACAAAATTTTGAGCATTTTTGAAAGAAACAAAGTTTTCTTTATAACCTTCATTTTTTGTAGGTACCTGTTGTTTTTTTGTTTTTTTAACACAATTCTATAAACATTTTAAAAGTTAGTGTTCAATGAAATCTAGTCATTAATGAAACACTAGCAGCACTTTCCTGTAGTTGTATCAAATATACATTTAAGTTACGAATAGGAGCTATATGTCATGCACACAATGGAGCACAAAACTGTGATCTGTCTTTTTTTAAGAGCAGAGTGGAATGCTTTCTGTGATTGCTTATTTTAATACAGCTGCTGTGTTAGATTTTCTGTGATTCTAATGGCCGGTGTTTTATAA